CACATCCACTCACCTATCACATAAATTTTGTATCAATTGTTTTAATGTCAATCCATTAACACCCCTGACAGCAACCGTAGATGAACCAAAGGTGCAAAAAAGCATGATGTCCATCTCCTGCACAACAAAATGAATGAAACATTAACCGTGGCATACATTCTACAAAAAACAAAATAACAAAGCATGGAAGATTTGTGACATGAAATCAAATGTGAGCGCCGCAACATCGGCATCGTACAACGTGGTCCAACCCACATTCAATTTCATATGTGAACAATGACAACCCAAGTTAAATAACATCACAAAAAGAAGTTAGATTAACATTAATATACATTCCAAAAAATTCCATCAATCGATACAATTGTCACATTCAATTGTAAAAAATAGAAACCAAAGAGTTTGCGAAACGAAATGTGACACATATGTCCACAGTAAATACAAGAATCAGACAACACAATACCAAAACCATGTTCATGTCCATGTGTATGTGAGTTACATTCACATACATTCCAATAGTATCCACAGACAAGCAAATATGACATTGGGAAGGAAAAAAAATGAAGCCCAATAATTTTGCGATTCGTAATGTGACACATATGTTTTGAAAAAGTAGCACAACTGCAAAACACAATTTAAATACAAACGAATGTAACACAGACCATTACGCACGTAACAGCCTTCGAATCTACAGAATTGCGCCAATGTATGGCTGTACATATGATCTCCATAACAAAGTGTGACAATGGATTGCTATGACAGATTGCGAAATCCATACGATATATGAGGACATTGATGCAACACAGACCACAGAATGTAACACAAAATGTAACACAGACCATGGAAGTTGATGCAAGATTACCATAACAAAGTGTGCCAATGGATTGCTATGACAGATTGCAAAATCCATACGATATATGAGGACATTGAAAACAAAATATTCGGGAAAAAACCAGAGCAACACTCACCAATTGAATTAGCAGACAACTTGATCTCCTTCCCTCAAAACAATCTGACTCCAAAGCGGCAAGATGAAACAACCAAACCATCCAACCCAATACAATTTTGAAAACCTAACAGACTCCGTGATCATAGCGCATATCACGACACCAAACAATATGGAAACAAAACGGTTAAAACATTGCAACATATATGAAGGGTATAATAGTAAACTAATTCTATTAAAACACAATAGATAGGACTTAATGGAACACTTTCTAATTTAAATAGGACTTCACACTCAATAAGAAATTTCATAGGACTTAACCTAGCATAAGTCTCCCTAATAGGACTTATAAATAATTTTCCCTTAAATTGTATCATAGTTATAAGGTTTTGTGTTGTATAGTTATAAACCAAATTAACATTAATTATAAAAATTAGTAGTGCTTAATTATGAATCAAAGTGAGGCTTTTATAATGTTTTTGGTCAAAAACTATTTTGGTTATGTTGTATCAAGATTTGGGGTGGTTGTTGTGCGAAGGCACAACAGCTACTACTTTGCAGCCAAATTGGTCCATTTTGGAGCCCATTTCGATAATCCGAACTATTCACATTTTAAAACACATTAAGTAGAATATACCTGTAAAAAATCAAGTTAATCGGATATTGTTTACCCATTCATTTACTCACATTTGTATCTACAAAAGTAAATAGCAATTGTGATTTAAAGTATTAAAATAAATACAAATGTGAGTGGATGAGAGGGTCACGATATCCGATTAACTTAATTTTAGAATACAGTGGCTGTTGTGCCCCCGCATAGCAGTCACCCTAAATTCGTTGTATCACCCATTAATATTGTTGAACCCTAACATGGAAACCTACAAAATAAATAAATAAATAAATCATCAAGTGTTCAAGTTGACCCTAGTGGCTCACTAATTATCAATCCTAACCATCATTACTCCATTGGTGGCTTGAACCTTTCCAAAATGGTGCAAAGACATTGGCAATCCCTTAATGCTCAAGCCCTAATCGTCTTCTTAATGCTTGAAATCTTATCTAATTGTGATTTAAATAGCACTATCGTTTAATGCTCAAGCCCTATCGTTTACCCATTCATTAACTTATATTTGCATCTACAAAAATAAATAAAAATCGTGATTTAAAGTATTAAAATGAATACAAAAGTGAGTGGATGAAAGTGTTAACGATATCCGATTAACTTAATTTTTTGCAGGTATATTTTACTTGATCTATTCTAAAATCTAAACGGTTTGAATTATCAAAATGAGCCCATTTGACTACACAATAGTGGAAGCTATGCCCCCGCACAACAGCCACCCTAACTCCGTTGTATCACCCATTAATATTGTTGAACCCTAACATGGAAACCTAATAAATAAATAAATAAATAATTAATTGTTCAAGTTGGCCCTAGTGGCTCACTAATTATCAATCCTAACCATCATTACTCCATTGGTGGCTTGAACCTTTCCAAAATTGTGCAAGGACATTGGCAATCTCCTAATGCTCAAGCCCTAATTGTCTTCTTAATGCTTGAAATCTTATCTAATTACCTTCTTAGTGCTTGAAATATTGTCTCCGAAATACTATCTGCACATCACAGAAATGTACATAGAAAAATTAAGGGTAAATCATCAATAAGTCTTAATAGTTGAACTTAATTCTCATCAAGTCCTATTGAAAATGAATCCTAGTCAAATCGTTGTTAAAAATAATTCTTTCTGACGATTTTTTATATATGTCGTTAAAAATTAACAATTAGTGATTTTTTTTTGTCACGATTTTTATAAATTATCGCTAAAACTTACAATTAGTGATATTTTTTTGTGACGATTTTTCAAACTATCGTTGAAAGTTGAAAATTAATGACTTTTTTTGTGACGATATTTTTAAGCTGTCGCTAAAACTTATAAATACTAACATTTTTTTGTGACTAAATTTTTAAACTATCACTAAAAATTAACAATTAATGACATTTTTTAATAATGTTTGTTGAAAAACGTCATTAATTATCATAAGATTTATTGGACAATAAGTTTACATATTATGACCTACACATAAACTCCCCAAATTAATGCATATTTCATGTTCATTATGGGCTGTTCATAGCATTATTGATATAGTAACAAAATTTGCCTATATATTGACATGCACACTTGGAATCTATTATTTTCATCATTCATACATTCCTTTTTTTTTTTTTTTTTTTTCAAGCAACAAGAGTGGTATGTTCTGTAATCCTAGTTTTATTAATGCAGTTGTGCTTTTGCTTACTTGACTTTCTAATTTGTTTTATATAACTTCTTTTAAGGTTAGCGGTGCGGCTTGAACCATGAATCCTTTCTACTAATCTTGGTAGTTTTCATGTCGATATTGGCAACTCTACAAGCCAATACAGAAAGGCTCACTTTGGTGGTTTATCAGCTTCTAAGTGATGCAAATCTTAGTCCAAAGGTTAACATTGGTGCAAACAACAAGGGTTTAAATGAAAAAAGTAAAAGTACTAGCATTGATGCGGAGAGTGAGCACAATGATGATTATAAAGTTGAGATCCAGCGCCTCCCTCCGGAGGAACACCACTCCTTTGTATGTCCCCCAACCAAGGGTTAATGGGATGAAAATTTTGTGTTGTTCCTAATAAAGTAGCGACCAACTTTTGCCGACCCTCAATTGGCGACCAAAGTAGCGACCAAAAAAATTGGTCGCGGATAACTTTTGCCGACCAAATATTGACTTTTGGCGACCAATTTTTTTGTTGCCAAAAGTGTTAATTCTTGTAGTGACAGAAAGGCCCACTTTGGTGGATTATCGGCTTCCATGTGATGCAAATCGTAGTCGAAAGGTTAATATTGGTGCAAACAATAAGGGTTCAAATGAAAAAAGTGAAAGTACTAGCATTGATGCGGAGAGTGAGCACAATGATGATTATAAAGTTGAGATCCAGCGCCTCCCTCCGGAGGAACACCACTCCTTTGTATGTCCCCCAACCAAGGGTTAATGGGATGAAAATTTTGTGTTGTTCCTAATAAAATGGTACCACTGTTGAAAAAAAAGGTATCAATATCAATATATAAGCAGTGGGTCTACAAATTTAGAAAAAAAGAAATATCATAAATTTATCAAGAATGCAAAATGGAAATCTAAGATTCATTCATGAAGTGGGTCATACGAAAAAGGTTAAATCTTCGTCACAAATTTGTATTTCTATATCAATTTCTGAGTTTATCTTCAAATCCAGAGAATTTTCCATATATAGTAGTCAAAGTGTGTAATGTCTCTCCTCCCCAAATATTAATTTCCAAAAACTATCAATTGGATCAACAATTTTAATGTAATAGTGTGTTTGTCCAATTATAAACAATTATGCAATAATCTAATTACTATTTTCTTTCTTTCAAAATGGTTACCTATACTTGTGATGCGCTTGTGATGAGGGGTATGCGTGGTGCAATTCGGATGATTTGAGAGTAAAATTACAAATTAAATTGTGAATGACGGATTAATAAATAAGCAAACTGCGATTTGAGTGATTTGAGACAATTTCAATTTACTAGTTGATTGAATAATATTCTTAAACAATTATCAAGTATTTGCATAATATACGACACTAATTTGCATAATATTATATATATATATATAACACAAACTATTTTTTCATATATATACTATTAATTTGTAACAAATTTCACATCTTAAATATCTCTCACTCATTTTTACGTTGATATTCCATTAGATGTTTAATATATATATATATATATATTAACTATAGCAACACGGAGTGGTCTCGATGACAGATTATAAATTTCAAAATTTGATCCACAATTAGCGATGGATCGATACTGATTGGTGTGTGCCACGCTCCAAAATTTGGACAATTAAATATTAAATTAGGATTAAACCCCAATCAATATTCCAACATCCAAATCCTAGGGGTAAAACAAAAATCTAAATGTTCTCGTCTCTATATGGTTCAAATAAATTTCAATGCTCAAAAAAAATTGCAAGGGGTACAAAAAAAAAAAAAAATGCCAACCAAACTATCTATCATAAATTCATAACTAATCAATACCTCCAACATTAAAGTAGTAACAAATAGTCAAAACAACTTAAATAATGTAAAGTTAGAAAAATCCACAATGCCAAATTATCAATACTAAGGTCATAAAAAAAAAATAAAAAAATAAACTAATATCAACTATAAAGTCCAAAAAACAAAAGAAGTCTGAAAGACATGTCCTATAACCGTAGTTATTTCTTGTTATCACCGTAGTCCCAACTAATCCTGCAAAGGAAGTTCGGCTGCGCTCAAACAGAACGCACCCGAGTTGCCAAGAGACAAAATGGGTCAGTATACAAGTATACTGGTATGAGTACAAATATTTGACACTTATGTGTCCACCAGACACAAACAAAAGTATATTTAATTTTTGTTATGGGACTATACAAGTAGTTCCACCGACACCGAGATGAAGGGGTAATTTCCTAAGATATAGTGATATTTAATTTCTTATCCGTACATAACTAAACATAAATTGCGATTTTGTTACATCAGCGCGCATGAGATGAAAAAAAAATGACAACAACATACAAAGAATCCAGCAAGAAGAATTCCAGCGTGGATGAAATTTTGGGAAGACTGCACGGGAAATTTGTATTCAATAGCACAGCATTTCATTTCCTCCTCCTCATTGGCAAGCTTTATTGATGCATTAGCAACGGCTCAAGGCAAGGAAATAAGGACATCAGACATGTAATTTGAGATTACACATATATACATGTTGCACCAATTTCAGAAAAGAGAAGTACGGAGGTTTTAATTGATCACACTTAGGAAAGGCTATGGGACACAGAATGGAATATATCCTCAACTCATTTACTATATAGAACTTAATTTTCTTTCTCATGCAAGTCATATGCATATCACTGTTTTTCTGTAAGAAACGTGATATAAATCATTGTTGGTTTCTAGCTTGAATATTCATCTCTGAGCATCGCAAAAGATAGATAAATCAAATCAAACTAAACCAAGTCTTAAGTTTCATCAAATGGAGTCGGCTACATGATTGCAAAAGATAGATAATAATAAAAAAAATGCAATTATTCAGAATTTCTAAGGACACCTTTTGCTTTGGGTATTCATAATGCTTGATCCAACAAACTCAGATGAATTAAATAGAATACTGTCAATTTATAACATAGAGATGTCAAATGTTGAGCAAAATCCTAGCGTAAAGGCAATGTCAAAGTCTAGCAGTGGTTTACCAGTTTACCCAAACTTAGCAGCATATTTTGAGGTGAGAAAATGAAACCAAGTAAGCTGAACAAGAAAAAAAATCTTACCATCTCGGTGACAATCAATTTATGATGGACCACCACACTAGATTTCATGTTGGTGGACGTTCACTGAAGGAGCTTTGTCCCCGAGAACTGAAGTGAAGAAACATCGAAACAGCAACGATCCACAGCAAGAAAATCATAAACACAACTCGAGTTTTCATGGAAACAAGTTCACCTAACCGATCTTTCTCTTCACGCAAAGCATTGAATTCCTCGATAACTACCTCAATTAATGCATTCAAAAGCTTCTTAGATTGGAGATCAGCATTTGTTGAATTCATAACTTGAATTTGAGCTTGCTTGAGATGATTCACCACCACCTCTGCCTCCACAGAGACAATGTCCACACTCTTTTTGGATTCAGCAGATCTGCAATGACCGACTGAGACATTAACTACTTCATCCTTGTCCACAGTGATAGTGGACGACAATGGAGTGAGATCAGATGGAGAAAATGTCTCCAATGAAGGCGAAATCACCTGATTCGGTGATGCGATGAAGCTCTGAAACATAAACTTATTCAAATAATAAGCAACATTGAATCGCGAAGTAAAACAGAAAACAATAATGATCAAACTCTATGCAACAGTGAATAAAACACGACCAAACTATATGAATCAATCACTCAGAGTAGGTAACAGAAACATATTCAAATTCACTCTCAACAATTAACAAATTAATATCAAAACAGTGTTTGTCAATCAAACAGTAAGCAACATTGTTGCAAATTGAATAAGGCAATAACGATCAAACGCGAAGCAACAGTGAATAAAACACGATCAAAAGTACAAATCAATCACACAAAGAGTAGGTAACATTCAATTGAGAAGTGAAATTCGGATTTACCTCTGCGGATTCACGGAGTTGATTATCCTCGGAAATCTCTGAGATAGAAGAGAACTCGATCAAGTCTTCTGAAACCGATGTAAATACAGAATTCAAGCACTTTTGGCTATTCTGCAACGGTAAATTAACAAAATGAGAGATTTGAAAATTAAATCCACATGAAATGGATAGATATATGTTTGTAGAGAGAGAGAGAGAGAGAGAGAGCAGAGAGCTAGGGTTTTGATTATACTATGTGCGGCTTGTTAGAGAGTTCGAAGATGGACTTGGATCTGCGAATTTTTTAGTGTTGATGTTCCATCTTTGGAGTTTGAAGCTGGTATTCCTTCATCTCTCTTCCCTCTCTTCTCTGTGATTATGATTCTATTTTGGCGGGAGGATTTCAAACTTGTAACAATAGTCAGAATGGTCCTCCTTCTCGGGGTTGTCCGTTCGAGTTGTTACCCGTGTCAAAACCTTATTCAAATTCAATTTGTCCGGTAAATAAGATAATGTAGAATACATTTTAAATCAAATTGTAACGGTCAATTATTTTTTCAGCTCACTTAGTTCGATAAACATAAAATTATACAAAAATATTAAATTACTCAAACTTAACTCCATAAAAACTCGTTTGAAATCAATTCAAAAATTGAATAAATCAAGCTTGAATAAATTTTAAAAATTGTAAAAAATTTTAAACCAAATTTAAATAGTCACATATTCGACTTGTTTATTATCTCTATATCTCCTTCATATCATACTACTATCCATATATCCTTTAATACTCTATTCCGTGAGCCTCATATCATATTGGACTCACACGATAATTTGAACCGTTCCTCTCATAGGTTTAACAGTAAAGATAAGTTGTGTAAAAAATCAACTTCATCACATATTATTTGACAAAAACAAATTATGTTTTATTTTTTAATATAGATGCCAATTATGAGTTTTAAACTTAAATCGTTTATTTTATAATACAAAATAATATTTATTCATCTATTTATGAATATCTGATGACGCTTATTTTTAACATGGATGATCAAATGGTCTTCATTATAAAGGTTGTGAAATAAATGATTCAAATAATCGTTGTAAAGTATAAAACCCACAAAATAAAATATGAAATAGATCCAACAAAGCCTAACTGTTTGATCAGTCGCTTGGGCCAGGCCAAGCGACCAGCTAGGCTAGTTGCACTTGGTTAGAAAGTTAGGGCTAATAGAATAATTACCAGCAAATTTTATGAACTTAAGCTTATTTTCTTGAGTTTTTATGCTATGTTTGTTTACGAGATTTTGGAAGAGATTTAAAAAAAAAAAGAAAGAGAAAAGATATGTAAAATTATGTAAAATATAAGTATATTTTATTTACATTTTACCTATATTTTTCTTTTTCCATTTCTTTTCCAAATCCCAGTGTTAATGATTTTTTTAGGAATTTGCCAATCATTTTAATACTAAAATTTGTTTGATAGTTTAAGAAATAAAACTCAAACGAAGATTTGTTATTTTGTTTTTTTTCAAAACTAAATTTTTTTTCATAAAAAAAAACAATCAATTACAAAATAAAATTAAAAAAATAGTTACAAGCAGAATTACTTCAGTTATTAGGCTTTTATGAAATTTTTTATTATTTTTATGAATTAAATTTATCACAGTTATAAGGTTTTGTGTTGTATAGTTATAATCCAAATTAACATTAATTATAAAAATTATAAAAATTAGTAGTGCTTAATTATGAATCAAAGTGAGGCTTTTATAATGTTTTTGGTCAAGAACTATTTGAGTCATGTTAGGGATCATAAATAAATTATCAAATTTTCTACCAAACCTCTCATATTGGTGTGGGACCGACACACATGTAATTTGTGTGAGTCTCGTACCCATGTGAAATGTTTGGTAAAAAATTTGTTAATTTATTTAGAGTCCATAACATTTTTCAAATTATTTTGATAGTGTTGTATCATCCATTAATATTGTTGAACCCTAACATGGAAACCTAATAAATAAAGAAATAAAACATTAATTGTTCAAGTTGGCCCTAGTGGCTCACTAATTATCAATCCTAACCATCATTACTCTATTGGTGGCTTCAACCTTTCCAAAATGGTGCAAAGACATTGGCAATACCCTAATGCTCGTCTTCTTAATGCTTAAAATCTTATCTAATTACCTTCTTAGTGCTTGAAATATTGTCTCCAGAATACTATGTGCATATCACAGAAATGTACATAGAAAAATTAGGGATAAATTATCAATAGGTCATAATAGTTGGACTTAATTCTCATTAAATCTTATTGAAAATGAGTCCAAGTAAAATCATCGCTAAAAATAATTTTTTGTGACAATTTTTTATATATGTCGTTAAAAATTAACAATTAGCAACTTTTTTTGTCACGATTTTTATAAATTGTCTCTAAAACTTACAATTAGTGATATTTTTCTGTAACGAATTTCTTAAACTATTGTTGAAAATTGAAAATTAGTGACTTTTTTGTGACGATTTTTTTAAACAGTCACTAAAACTTATAATTAGTGACATTTTTTGTGACTAAATTTTCAAATTGTTGCTAAAAATTAATAATTTAGTGACCTTTTTTTAATAGTATTTGATAAAAAAACATCATTAATTATCTTCTCGGAACATGCTATTTTAATAACTTTGACTAAAATATGAGGTAAAAAAAAACTATATTTGGAATGACTTTTTATTTTTTATGCAAAGATGTGCAAAAAGTAGAGAGAAAATGGAATTTTTAACTTTTTGGTACAAGTTATAAGTTTTTTGATTTTTTTTATAACTTTTTGACTTTTAGGCTAAGATTGTTGCATGTCAAATGAGGCATAAATCTACCTATTAGAATCTATGCATAAATTTCCCAATATTAATGCATATTTCATGTTCATTATGGGTTGTACGTAGCATTATTGATATAGTAACAAAATTCGCCTATATATTGGCATGCACACTTGGAATCCATTATTTTCATCATTCATACATCCTTTTTTTTTCAAGCAACAAGAGTGATATGTTCGGTAATCGTATGGTAGAGGGTTAGAAATTAAACCTCAAATTAAGTATGGACCTAAGCGCTGGGGTCGCCCCTTTAAGGCGACTAAGAATGACTAGAGGAACATTGGCCAAAACCCAGGGGAAGTGGGCCGAAGCAAGTCTGACCCGCCAAGGGTCCAAATGGACTCCACGAAGGAAAATGCTTAAGTCAAGTTGTAGAGGCAACACATGCAACGGTCAAGTTGCAAAGGCAACACATGCAGCCGGAAAGTTGCTGAGGCACTTTGCCTCAGCGCCACCATTCCTAATATCTTCCGTTCCGCCGCCATCCGAAGCTGCTGAGGGAAAGAAAAAACCAACGCAACTAAGTTGCTGAGGCAACACTTGCGACGGCCAAGTTGCAGAGGCACTTCGCCCTAGCGCCGCCATTTCAAATAACGTCGGTGCTGCCGCCATTCCAAGTAATGTCGATACCAAAGCCATCTGGAGTTGCTGAGGGAAAGAAAAAACACCAACTAAGTAACAGAGGTAGTACTTGCAGCGCCCAAGTTGAGGAGGCATTTTGTCGGCGTCGCCATCTCTAATATTGTCGGTCTTGTCATTTGAACGTGCTATAGGAAATGACTGCCGCAACAACTATAGCTGCTGCAACTAACTTGCGAAGGGAACGTCCTGCCAAGGTGATAGCAACCCTTGGGAAAAGCTTCCCCTCTGCAAGTGGAGGCTAATGCTTGGCACTGATAGCAGGCCCCTAGGCATTACTAGCTTAGGGCTGATTGCAGGCCCCAAAGTTCATTTAGCTTGGCCCTGATAGTAGGCCCCAAGACTTACTTGTTAAAGCTCATAGTAGGCCCAGAAATACCAGTTTACCGCGGCGATCCCACGAAGATGAGAGCAAGGTAGCTCGAGCATAAGGGACTCCCTTTCCATTACCCAGGTCATGGACCTGCCTTAGTAGCACAGGTATGACTAAGGAAGTCCCCTTGGGCTTGGTACTAAGGCACAGCATGGCTAATAGCAGGCTTGGCTGTGGCCTTCGCCGTGGGAAGTTGGGGAGTTTGCGGTTAGGTGGCTAAGGGTGGAGGCTTCGTTGTGGTGAGCACGAACGTAGTTGATAGAAGACCAATGGAGCCCTAAGAATGTATGTACTAGCCAAGTAGAACTGAGAAGGCAAGTGCAGCAGTAAGGTTTACCGTTGCAAGCACACTTGCTGAGGTTCAGGTTGAGAAGGCAAGTGCAGAGGCAAACATTCTCGCTGCAACTGCACTTGCTGAGGCTCAAAAGGGAGTTGCAGCGCCAAACACTCCCGTCGCAACTACACTTGTTGAGGTTCAAAAAAGGTAGTTGCAGAGGCAAACAGATAGTACACAACACATGTAGAGGGACATGTGGCACCTTCAGCTTGGTGGCTCAAGGCAGAATATTCCATGTGATCCTCTAGGACACATGTCCTCTCTCTATTTGGCCACTTGGTGTCCTCTTGGTACCAAGGAAAATCCTATAAATAAGACCCATTTTCCAAGGTTCAAAAGGGAAATTTTGGGGATTTAGGAGAGATGCTGCCCATTTTGGCACTATCATACATTTCTTCTTGAGCCACTTGCTTCACCCTCACCCAGTTACACACTCTCCAACTCCCAGATAGCTACTGCTACTTATTGTACAGCCACTTCCACCATTATTGGACCATTAACATAGTTTTGCCTCTCTAATCATCTTCCTAACCTTGAACCCCCTTACATTTTCTGGCAACTCTGCTGGGGAGGCTGCTCTGTTGATGGTTTATACCCGTAGTGGTTTACACACTTCACTGGAAAAAATGGCAGAGGATGAAGTTCAACAACCCCCATGGTAGCAAGGCTCTTCTAATGGCGAAGTAACACATGTGGAGGACCGTGACCACAGTGTTGTGGTTGAGGCAGTCCAGTCACTCCAGGATATGCAGAGGAAGATCTTGGCAGCTTTGCAAACTCTCATTGAGGCTATAATGGCCATGGCGTCCAGACTAGCCCTAGCGCAAGCGCCTCCGCCCGTAGCAGTCCCAAACCCAATGCCTAATTTTCTCCCTGAGGTTCGGGCTCCGATCTAGGTGCCTCCGGTGGTACCTCAGGTGAACGGTACGACCACTGGTTTAGCTATACAGGAGCAGACTGGACCATTCTAGCCCACTCACTTAGTTACTCCAGCCGATGTACAAGCTATGCTCGAGCAAGAGCATAGCAAGAAGCAACTACCATCTCTCCCTGACCTAGATGTGAAGCCCCTATACTCTCAAAAGATATTGACTATGTCATATCCAACTGGGTATACAGTGCCTAAATTTATTAAGTTTGATGGGAAACAAGGCAAGGTAATGCCAGAGAACACGTGGTGAGGTTCATTGAAACCCTTGGTGTCCATGGTGGTGACTATTCTCTGCGCCTTCGAAAGTTCT